GGACTGAACAAGCTGGTGGTGGGCTGGAGGATCCATCAAGACCCCTCTTACTTCCAGCGTGAGTTCAGAACCAAAAGAGTGGAAGACGCTGAAGTTAGACAGGTGGAGATCCACATGTCACCACTATTACAGACAAACACTATCGAGCATAGCAGGATAAAGGGAACAGAGGCGTTTGGTGGCTTTTCTACTAGGAAACTAATCTGTTCACCTGTTCTCAAGCATTGCTGGACTATCACAGGGTTCCCCCTTTCTGTCTGCCTTGACGGGGATCCTTCTTCAGCATCACAGAGGAGCAGGGCGGAGTACATGCTCTCTGCTGTCAGATATACCCCCAAAGAGTGAAAGAAAGGGAGGGACTGTTCCAACAGACTTAGCTCCTTCTCCTGAATGCATCCAGTAGCACAGTCACTTCCTTTCCCAGTGGAGGGTAAGACAGAGACTGGAGAGAGGCCTAAGGGCTTAGGGTAAATTCCTCCTCATGCAAACCAGCAAAGATGGAGATCATTGCTGTCAAGCCAGTAGACACTCACCACACATCTACGGTCACCTACATTTCCCAGCCTCTCTTATTATTACATTGGGACCATATATCTTTGTCTGGCCAATGGATTTGAGTGGAAGTAATGTGTCACTTGTGAGTTTAATCAGTAAAAACGGTCCTCTGTCCCTCTCATTCTCTACCTTTGGTGACCCTGGAGGCCATATGTTCTAAATAGTATGGCTCTAAGATGAAGAAAATCTGTCCAAACTGAAATGGATTTTACATGAATTAGAAATAACTTTTATTTTTCTAAGCCACTGAGATTTGGAGATTCATTACCACAGGAGAGACTGTCCTATCTTGACTAAAATAATGGTCCTCCCTGAACCTCAGGGACCAGACATACCGTGAAAACAAAACAGACATGATCTTTGTACTCATGGAACATTTAGCCTAGTGAAGAAGATACATAACAAACAGGTGAAAAAATAAATAAGTACACTTTGTGGTAAAGGCTGTGGAGGAATAATTGTGAAGACTAGTGGATGGGGTTTGAACTTAAATTTGGTGATCAGAGTGTCAGTGAAAAGGTGACATTTTAGCAAAACTAAAATGTGACTTCTCAATAACAAGTGAGAGTTCTTCTACACAGTAATCTCGTGTCTTTGAAATTCCAGTATATTCCTCTCATGGCATATACTCCTCTCATGCCATATCTGCACTAGCCAGTATCTCATCAGAAGGAGCTCCTCTTGTTGATGATATGCTGACTAGTGTAGATATGCCAAGTATTTCTTTAGCCCATTGCCATTGGCTAAGATAATGTTATCTTTCTTTCCCTGGGTGGTTTGTATTATAATCTTAAGGCTTTGATTTCTATTTGATGGGCATGTACTTATAGGATTAAGTATGCATGTTATCCAACTGCTTCAAACCCCTTGTCAACAATACTCAGTCACCTTCTCTCTTATCCACATCCTGGGCAACACATCCTTCCCGGTTGAAAATCACTAACCCAGAGTGTGGCTTTGAAATCTCAGGATTCTAACTCTAGTGACCAGTGTGTGGCTAGATAACTAATAAGCATATACTTCAGTAGGAGCAACATGTACATTGTTTTAATGGGAAGGTCTTCACTTGTCTTCAACTGATGGTCCAAATATAATCTGTAGTTGACTATAGTAGATAATTGCTTTTATCAGATTGTTCAGGATTCCTTCTCTCTTATTATGGTAACACTGGGGCATTACCTTCTTGTCATTCTCTATTCACATGACCCGGATGAACATGTGACTCAGATCGTGACTATCAAAACCTGGCATTGTCCTAGTTCTAGGATTAGTCCAAATGTGGCTGGATGACATGTGATTCAGTCCACTGAAAGTCAGGCCTGAGTTTTTTGTGGGAATTTTGATGGAAAAAAAGCTTGATCTGCTCTGTTGGACATAAACCTAGGAATGCATAGGCTCTAGCCACTAGTTCCTTCTTGTCTTAGAACACAATTAACACTAAAGACAGTAGGCAACTTTAAGCAATAGATGAATCCATCACTCATGCCAACTTCCTCCTGGTCCACAAGTCAAGTTGGGTTTTCCGTGGTTTGCAATGAAAACAAATTTAACTAATATAGAGGATGAAATTTACAGAAGGAAAAGAAAGATGGAACAAGGGTCAATTATACTGTTGATCTAAATTCTCCTTACTATTTTCTCAAAAATTCTAGGTACTGGGGTTCCTGGGTGGCTCAGTTGGTTGAGCATCCAACTTCAGCTCAGGTCATGATCTCATGGTTCGTGAGTTTGGGCCCCACATCAGGCTCTACATTGATGGTGCAGAGCCTGCTTGGGATTCTCTTTTCTTCCTCTCTCTGCCTTTTCCCTTGCTCTCTCTTTCTCAAAATAAATAAATAAAATTAAAAAAAATTCTAGATATTTCAGAGTGGTAATGATAATTGCCCAAGGAAGTTCATGTTCTAACAGCTTTACCTTCCTTAGTGGGTAACATATTTATTGAAAATAAAGAAAAATAGATTCTACCTAATTACAGGGTATTCTTCAAGATACAAAATGGAAAAAAAAAACCAAAAAAACCTATGAACACTGCAAAAAACCCACAAAACACACACACACACACACACACACACACAAAGGCACAAGGAATACATTTAAAAGCCAGGCAATAAAGACAAAAAATAAAAAGGGAAAACAACAAAAATCTTTCTGAAAGTTCTTTGCGCAGTGGGAGCTTAAAAGCATGTTAACTGCCTAACTCCTTAAAGCAGACTTAAAGTAATCAGCTCACACAGTGATATAATTCCCTCTCAGTCTCTGTCTCTCCCTGAAATGCATTACATTTGGGGATGTGGTTTTCATTCTAGATGGCCCAAAGGAGAGGAAGCAGTTCAAAATTAATAATAGGTCAATTATCAGTAAGTGAATAATTGCCTTCAGGGGTCTTCAGGTTACGATCAAAAGCCATTTCTTCCTTTCTCCATTCAGGAAGGAAAGAAGGAAAGAAGGGAAGGAAGGGGAAGAAAGAAGAAAGGAAAGCAGCAAAAAAGTCAAGAGTTGTCAGATGCATCATTAAAAACCTAATTGTTGGGGCACTTGGGTGGCTCAGTTAGTTAAGCATCCAACTCTTAGTTTTGGCTCAGGTCATGATCCCATGGCTCAGGCTTGGGCTCTGATAGCATAAGGAGCCTTCTTGGGATTCTCTCTCTCTCCTCTCCTTGTTCCTCCCACACTTAGGTGCTCTGTTTCACAAAATAAATAAACTTAAGAAAAAGCTAATTGTTATATGTTGCTTCACTGTTATAAAAGAGAAAATGGGGCGGGGGGCGGTGCCTGGGTGGCTCAGTCAGTTAAGCGTCTGACTTCAGCTCAGGTCATGTTTTTGTGGTTCATGAGTTCAAGCCCCAAGTCTGGCTCTGTGCTGACAGCTCAGAGCCTAGAGCCTGCTTTGGATTCTGTGTCTCTGACTCTCTCTCTCTCTCTCTCTGCCCCACGCCCACTTGTTCTCGCTTTCTCTCTCTCTCTCAAAAATAAATTTTAAAAAACATTAAAAAAATAAAAATAAGAGAGAAAATGGGGGCTCAGAGATGGTGACAATTATAATGACTCCTTATTCAAGTGTTTCATATGTCACAGGTGCTTTTCTAAGTGCCTGCTATGAATTAGCCTGTTTAATCCTCAGAACAGCCCAAGAGGAAGGCAACATTATTCTCAGTCCATGGAAGAGGAAACAGAAACACAAGCAGGTGAAGTAACTTTTCCGAGCTCACATAACTTGAGTCAGAGCCAGGAATCAACCCCAGGTGGTCTTGTTCCAGAGCCTGTGCTGTTAACCATTAGGCTGTTTTGCCCCGGAAGGCCAAGAGATCTGTGCAGGCCAATTTGCTCAAAGTTTCCAACTGAATTAGTAGTTATACTGGTCCTGTTTCTTTACTGCAGACAACATAATCAGAGTTCGCTTTTTTAAAAAGAGATCCATTAAAAAATGTAGCTAGCTCCCACAACTGATGAAGAGGCTGCAGTAACAGACCATGGGCTAAAACTCCAGGGGAGAGTCTCAGAGCTACACCATGAGACCAAGCCACCCAGAGAGAGGCTGCCCCTGTCATGACTGGGGCACTGTGAGCCAGGAGCTGCCCACCCCAGCTAAGGATTCCAGAACCGGGCTGCATCTGTATCCGTCTGTGCCAGCAGAACAGATTTGCTGAATCCTGCCTCCTTCTCCATTACTCAGTCTCATTGCCCCCAAAATGTCCTCCGAGGCACATTTGATTTACCAGAATCTATACTGCATGTTGGTCCAGCAGCAAGAAACATGAATTCTATGTTGGAAATGAGACTCTCAGGGGCGCCTGGGTGGCTCGGTCAGTTGCGCATCTGACTTCGGCTCAGGTCATGATCTTGTGGTTTGTGAGTTCGAGCCCCGCCTCGGGCTCTCTGCTGTCAGTGCAGAGCTTGCTTGGGATCCTCTGTCTCCTTCTCTCTCTCTGTCCCTCCTCTACTCATGTGCACTCTCAAAAATAAATAAGCATTAAAAAAGAAAAAAAGGAAATGAGACTTACACTGTAGAGAACTACCAAAACGTGGAGAGGGTGTTCACATGGGCTGAATGACAGGTGCCCATCCAAATCATAAAGCTGAGATTTGAGGCCAGGTGCAGCCGACTTCAGAGTCCCTGTGCTTAACCATGTTATTCCATGCTGCCTGCTAATGCCCTTGTCCCAGAGGACCCAGGGATCACCAGTGTTAAGGGCCCTGGATCTGTGACGCCTCACATGCTCTGTTCAAAATCTCTGCAGAAATAGCTGCTGCCAGATTCACATTCACTATCCAGGAGAGTACGTCCGTCTTGAATGCCACACATCATTTCATCCTGAAGAACTGAAGTGGATACTTGAGGTAGAAACCTGGTGGTACAATTTACATTCTCCATGGAGACTGGAGCTCAAGCAAAAACCCAGTGACCTGCTTTCTCTGTGCTCAAGCCTCTCATTATTTGCTTTCAGAGTGAGTGTTCCAGGAGGGAGGAACCTGTGTCTTCTTTGTAATGTTTGTCCTGATCCTGGGACTGGGCCAGGCACACAGTAGGTACTCAAATAATATTGACAAAGAAGAGGAGGAATGGAGGGATATAGGGGTGGTGGAAAGTTCTCCTGAGTCTAAGTCGTCTCTTAAGAGAGAGCCCATCTAGTCAGGTTGGGAGATAGTTTGTGGAGAGACAGAGATAATACAGAGCAGGCCAGAGATAATACAGAAGATCGCATCACACTCCAGAGTAAGCCATCATCTCCCCCTAACCAGTCACTTCCCACCCCCTGTGAGCTCCCCGCCCCCACCACCTCACACCACGTGGCAGATGAAAACCCTCCCACCACTACAGATTCACACTCCACAGGACGTGAAACTTGTCCCTCCCCCTCCCTCCTTATGGCCACTGCATACTCTTTAGCAAACCACAACTGTACCCTCCCCCGACCACTTCACATTCCATGAGATGCCTCAGTCCTTCCTTCCCACAACTACTTCTCATCCACACCAAGCACCGAATCTCTGCCACGGCCACCCCACACTTTACAGTCATCCCCAATCATCCTTCCCACACGCCTAGATATTCCAAGAAAAGGCAGTCCTCCTTCCAACTGCCGCCTCGTACATGGCAATGAACCCCAATCCTCCCTCCCCATAAGCCCCTGACGGTCCAGAGTCAACCCAACGTGCCTACCACAAAACCACTTATTGCTCCGTGGTAAGCACCAACCCTCCCCCCCCCCTTGAACCTTGTCACACTCCATAGACAGCCTCATTCCTTCTGGCCACACCACACTTCCACCCTCCCTGCTCCCAAGTTAAGCCCGATCCCCTCATCCACAAAACCAGTTTACATTAAGTAGATCATTCCTCCTTATAACCACATCACCCTCTACATAACTCCCAACCTTCCCTCCCCAAATACTTCACACCCTTCACGCCCCATGGTAAACCCCTTCCCATCTCAAATACTTGACACTTCCCAGTAAACCAGGAGGCTCACCCACCACAACCTCTTCACAGTCCGCAGTAAAAACCCTCAAGTCCTTCACCAAATCCTCCTCTCCACAGCCCTTTGACACCTACATGGACCTCCATGCTTTCCTTCATCCGCACAGTGCACACTCCACAGTGAACCCCCACCTCTCAAAACACCTTCTTTATACTCCAAGGGATATAACTCACTGACTCTCTGAGCCCCTCCGTTTTTCACAACGGGCCCCAACCCCTCATTCACCCACTCTTTGCTCACACCATGCGGTGCACAACCAGCAAAGGTAATACTGAGCCAGCAAGGTGAGGTCATGTGCATTTCTCAATATTTAAAAAAGCCTGAAAGATATTCCACATTAATCTGTAGTAATACTTTATAAACTGACTAAAATATTAAATAACCTGTGCTTCAAGCTGGAATTACTGCCTGATTCCTGTTGATCACAAGGTTTTTTGTTTTTTTTTTTTTTGTTTTTTTTTTTAGCAATTTGTATATCTCTACTCAATAAAAGTTGGGAAATGAATGAATTAAGTAATAATGGAAAATTACCATTATTTGTTTGTGGATCAAATCCTTTTGAAACACTGGATTCCTGAGCAAAAGCAACAAAAGTGATATTCCTTGTGATGAAAAGGTCCATGGACACCAGCACTGCAGCCTACCTCTGTGTTTTAGGAGTCAGTCTAGAGCGGAGAGCAAGTCTCCAAGGCTCATGGCTGGGCAGATCTAGTGCTCTGCCAGCCTGTGCAGGGGGGATAGGCATCTTGCACCCTCACTGGTTTCATTCCCTGTGCATCTATTTATCAGTGAACTATCATCTTCTGAGTTAGTCTATTGTCCCAGCCATTATTTTCAAACTTAACAATCACTGATACTTCTATTTTTCTCTTTTTCTCTTTTCTTTCTCTCTCCTTCCTTCCTTCCATCCTTCTTTCTCTTTCTTTCCTTCCTTTTGTTTGTTTCTTTTCTTTCCTTCCTTCCTTCCTTCCTTCCTTCCTTCCTTCCTTCCTTCCTTCCTTCCTTCCTTCCTTCCTCTCTCTCTTTCTTCTTTCCCCTTCTGTTTAACTAACACTGGCCACTGCATTAGAATTAGTCATTTGCAGACTATGCCAGCCAGCAGCCTCATAATCACAGCCTTGTCACAGAGCATGGCTGCCACAGTGACTGGAATAGAAATGGAAATAAATGAAGTGTTATTTTCCCCATCCTGAAACTAGAGAACTGCATCAAGCTCACAAATGTGAACTTGGGGAAAGAGTTTTCAAGTCCAGCCTTTAGTTAGTGAGCCTGGCTGGAAGCTGGGTAAATCCTGACTGATGGATTGTATGGTGTGACTTTACTGGAGTGTGTCAGAAGCAATGCCACTACAGGTGTCAGGGCACACCGGGGAGGAACAAGCTAAGGCGCATCTCGGTGATGTTCCGAAGGATGATTGGAAGGGTATGGTGATGGCTGGAAGTGATAAGCCTCGGTGTTTGTTTATACCTTACTGGAAAGCCATGTAAATGAATGGAAACTTCCTGGCAAAATACCTTGACTTGTAGCAACTTCACTGCCATTCCTGGATGATAATGTAGAAGTCAGGTTTGCCCACACCCTGTTCATCACAACCCTGGAGACAACTGTCTCCCTGGCCATAAGAGAGCTCAAGTTTATGAATGGAAGCAAGAAGCATTGAATGTGGCTTTTAGTTAGACACCATGGGGAACCAGAGCCTTCCATAAACTGTCTCAAAACACCTTCACACAGCTTGGTTTGAGTCAAGTCCTTACCATCAGGAGGTTCGCCAAGAGCACCAGGACCATGGTACTTATATAATTAAGACTGAGTCGGCAAGCAGTGTCAGGGTGGCCTGTGTGCTCACTGTTGTGTTAGAGGCATCCTTGTGCTTATTCATAAAGACATTCACTCATTCAGTAAGTACTTACTGAAATCATGATGCCTGCCAGGGATTGTGTAGATCTTTGCAGATACAGCAGTGAGAGAAGCCCAGAGCATGTCCTCAAGGGGTTTCAACTCAGGTGCAAAAACGCAGATGTATGTAAACAGATTATTACACTATCATGTGACAACTCAACCTGTAAGCCCCTCACCCAGCTTCAGTGGATAAAGAGGGAAGACTTCTGGAGGAGGTGGCCCTTTTGAACTTATGTCGTAGAGGTGTAAAAGTTTGCCCAGTTAAGAAGCAGGGAGGAAGGAGAGGGGAAGGCATGCAAACAAAATTACCTAGAGAGAAACCATCTGCCATGTTAAAAAGAAAATCACAGGCCCAATATGGAGCCACTGATGCTTGGCAAAATCACCAAACCAGGGCTTCATGCCTAACCTAACTGCAGTTTCAACTTCCCCCAGAAAGTCAGTCTTAATGGATCAGTCAAGAATTTTCTGATTGGTACCAATCAGGTCATCAGGCTCCTGTCACATGGGCCCTCTCCAAATCCCAAAGGAAGATGAGGTCATCTGCACAATAAGGCCCCCTGGCCTTCTCCCTAAGGGAAGGTGACCTTGCCTGAAACAGTCCTCTCTTTTCTTTTGCTAATTATGCCTTGCACCACCCTCTTTCCCATAAAAATCTTCCATTTTGTACAACTCCTCACAGCATCTTTTTACTTGTTAGCTGGGATGTTGATTGATTCATGAATCACATAAGCCAATTAGATCTTCAAATATACTCAGTTGAATTTTATTTTTTTTAGCACCTATGAGGCAGGGTTTGTTAGGTGTTGCTGGCAGGGAGAGAAGAAAGGGGCCAGGGTATTTAAACTTTTTATGCCAGGATGAAGGGTTTGGGTACTGATGAGAACCAAAAGTTACTCTTTAAGAAAGTTGCAGTCTCATTAGGGAGGTAAGTAGTCTATTACATATAGTAATCTGATACATATGTCATAGTTATCATATAATATATGTGATATTTATATCATATTTATCATATATACGTGACATAATCTGATATATATATGAGAGACTGTGAGTGCCCATCATAGCAGAACTCCAGCTGAGTTGAGGGAAGAAATCCAAGTATCAGAATATCAGTCTAGTGAAATAGAACAGATGTGGATTTAGGGTTCCTTCCAACTCTGAGATACTATGATTCTGTATAAACTTACTGAGCCTCCATTTTCTCTCCTGTAAATGGGAATTATAGTAATGGTAATGCCTCCAGCATGGGGTAGTGGTATTTACTGCAGTGTCTGGAAAATTCTTTTTTTTATGTTTTTTATTTTTCAGAGAGAGAGTGAACACACGTGCAAGCCTGGGGAGGGGAAGGGCAGAGACAGAGGGAGACACAGAATCCGAAGCAGGCTCTAGGCTCTGTGTTGTCAGCACAGAGCCTAAGGCAGGGCTCGAATTCACGAACTGTGAGATCAGGCTGTGAGCCGAAGTGGGACGCTTAACGGACTGAGCCACCCAGGCGCCCCTGTCTGGAAAATTTTAAGGGCCCAAACTAGTGGCTATGAGTTTGGTTGAATGATGAGGTAGAGTCTTTGTAGAGCTATATACTGTGTAAGAGCGGCACAAAGGCCATTAGGGGTATACTTGCTGTGCTGTGCACCTAGACTTCAAGAGAACTAAAAATACAATGGAGGCCATGGCATCACTCATCAGAGTGTTTTTGTGTGAGGGGATAGTGAGGTGAGAATTTAAGAACATCTGGGCAGAAAGGAGGACATTGAATGCTCTACAAGGAAGCAGTAGATACTTGTGAAAGAGCTGTAGGCAATGACTGAGGCACCGCCAGATGCATAGATTTTCCATTTAAGTCTCACAGCAACCCTGCAAGCTGATACTACTGTATCCTTTTTACAGTTAAAGAAACGATGGCTCAGAGGAGCCAGTGACTTATTCAAGGTTACAAGGTAAATGGAGACATGAGAAGTCATATCTGGAGTCGTCTGGCTCCAAAGCTTGTGTTTTGAACCAATCTGATGCATGTCACCTGTGTGAGGGCATGAGCCATCGGTGAGCACGGTCGGTGTGGGAGGTGATTAGAAACGTCTTTGCCTGGAATAGCTGCCCTTGCCTGCACACACAGAGAGGATACAAACGTGCGGGAGGAGTTGA